TTAATCGGTCTCTGTATGGTCTTAAACAATCACCCCGTCAATGGAACATTGAACTAAACAAGGCTCTCCTCGAGCTGGGCCTCTCCAACTCAAAATATGACCCCACTCTATACTTCAAACTCCATAACAACAAGCTAATTGGTGCTCTCACTACCCATGTTGACGACCTTGCAATTGTGGGTGAACACAATTTTGTCAACTCCCTCATCTCTGAAGTTGGTAAATGATTCAAAATCGGTGCGGATGAGGAGCTCAATCATTTTCTCTCACTGAAGATCACCAGGAACGCTGCAGATCATCATATTTTACTGAATCAAGCTCACTACATCTCTGAACTCTCTGCCAGATTTCTCAACAACAATCCCACACCTGTGGCAACTCCAACTGACTCCATTTTCAAGAATCTTGGCCCACGTTCTCAGTCCAACCCTATGTCATCCGGCCCGTACCCCCAACTCATTGGATCTCTTCTCTGGGTATCTCAATGCACCCGCCCTGACATTTCTTTTGCAGTCAACCACCTATCTCAATTTCTTTGTGATCCTTCTGAATCTCACTGGCAGGCTGGTCTGCGGATTCTCAACTATTTGATCACAACTAAGGATCTCAAGCTCAGCCTCATGTAGGATGTTGTTGTTGAGCTGATCACTATCTCTTCTCATCTCATTTCTTTCTCTCTGCTTTATACATGTCACATGTAGTTTCCACTCATGTCACACACTTTTAGTATACCTGAGGCAGCACTTGTGGAAGTCCTTCTTTCCTCATCCTTGCACGAACCAACCACTCACCCACCTCGTGCTTGCTGCTCTCAGGTATAGTAGTCTCTTCTTTCCTTTTTTGTTTTCTTTCTTCTTTTTCTTTCTTTTCTTTCCTTCTCATTTTGCAATGAATTATCCTTCCGCGAACCAACCACTCACCCACCTCGTGCTTGCTGCTCTCAGTCTCTGTCTAGCTCATCAGTTGTCAGCCAGCTCATCAAGCTCACATGGAGGGTACATATACCAGCTCACCCAGCTCATGCAGGAGGTTAAAACCCAGCTCATCCAGCTCAGGGAGGAGGCTGTCAGCCAGCTCATCCAGCTCACATTAAGGGTACATGTACCAGCTCACCCAACTCATGCAAGAGGTTAAAAACCAGCTCCCCCAGCTCATCCAGCTCACATTAAGGGTACATGTACCAGCTCACAAAGCTCAAATGGGTTTTTGTTGAATAATGCAACTAGACCCATTTGTTCAATCAATTTTTTTACATCTTAAATTTGATTATTTTTTGACATTTCAAGTTTTTTTCCTACACTCCAAGAAGTGTAAAATATATGGTAATCATCATTATGCTTAAAAACAAAATTTTTTTTTTTGAAATTTTCATTATTTTTTTGGCCTTAATAAACAAGCACGGTTTTTTTGCATTTTGACATGGTATTTGCTGCGCGCAGAGCACGAGCTTTATGTGTTTGGATGCACTTTTTGTAATGAATTTTTTAACACCAATTTTCATGTTTTTCAAATTTTTAAATTTATTTCCTGGATTTTAATATGCATTAAACTTTATGGTAAGATCCAATTATTTCAATTTTAAGAATGAAATTGGATAGACCCAAATTTGCCCTTAATTTTTTACAGCTTAATTTTCATCATTTTTTGACATTTCAATTTTTTTTGTACAATGTTAGACATATGTAATATTATGTGGTAATGATCATTTTACATCCAAATGAAAAATCTTTTCTCAATAATGCATTACATGTTTTTTTGATTAATTTCTACAGGCTTAATTTTCATCATTTTTTGGAATTTTAAACTTGTTTCCTACATTTTCAAAGGTTTAGAAGTTGATGGTTGTATCCATTTTGCATCATACAAATAAAATAGGTATATGATATAAATTATGTAAGAAACGGGGTAAGCTCATATATTAACATTGAAAGAAGCTGTAAGAAATTAATTGAAAAAATGTGTATAATTGCAATTTTCAAAGTGATCAGTTGTTTTTTACAAGAATTGAGTGATGCCATAAAGTTCTACACATATTAAAACCTAGTAAATTAATTCAAAATGTTGGAGGAAAATAAAAAATAAGGTGTGAAAAATTAATACAAACAAAGTGTCCAAACGCAGAAACTGTGTCTGCTGCACGCAGCAAAAACTGTGTCAAAACACCAAAATACTCCGTCAAAACACCAAAATACCATGTTTCCTTAAAAGGCCTGATTTTTTCAAATTTTTAAATTATTCCCATAATATACGTGAGCTTACCCCATTTCTTGCATAATTTGTATTGTATATTTATTTGTATGCAAATTGAGTATAACCATCAATTTTGAAACCTCTCAGAATGTAGGAAATAACTATATAATTTCTAAAAATAATAGGGGGTATTAAATATAGACAATCCACCATTAGAAACCTTTCACTTTTCCCAGAATTCTTTATTGGCATCAATGGGCCCCAAAAGGGGTTACAGAATAACTAGCATGTTTAACAAGGGTAAATTTTTTTCAAACCAGTCAATTGTATAATGGTGGATTTGTTTATATTTGATACCTCTTCATGCACATCAAGCCTGTAAAAATTAATTAAAAAACATGTCAAGTGCAATATTCAGGACAAATGCAATATTCAGGTAAAATGCAATATTCAGGAAGGAAGAATTTTTAATTTTTGTGAAATATGGATATTAACATAATTTTAATGTCATAAAGTGTAGGAATAAAAAACGTAATCTCAAAGAATTATGAAAATTAGGCTCTGATATATTAAGTGAAAAAATATTACCAATTGCATTATTCAAAGAAAATTGTTGAATTTCTTGGAAATTGGTTTTGACCATAAAATTCTACACACTTGAAAGGGTAGCAAAGGAATTTAAAGCTTTGGAAAAACATTAAAAATGAGGCGTAAAAAATCAATACAAAAAAAAGTTTGCAAACGCCGGATCCATGTGTGCTGTGCACCACCAATACCACATCTAAACACCAAAGGACCTCTTTTTTTGGTTTTGCTGTTGAAATAATGTGTCTAATTGCAATATTCAAGAAATACCATAAGTTCTATGCAAAATGGTCATTACTATGAGATTCTAAACTAAGAGCATCCACCATCGTACCGGTAAATCTTTAGCTAAATATATGTCAGTACCGAGCCCCGCGCGACTGTATAGCTAATTCATTTTTTGGCTCAACCCTCGTAGGTCTGTAACAGCTGGGTATGCAGCCCTGCCGAACTTAACTAGCCTGCCGCCACCCTCGTCTCAAAACATAACTATTGGAACGACTCTTCAACTCCGACTCAGCGATGAATCAACGCATGGCCGTAACTCGACAGATGGACTATCTTCTGGACATGGAGGAAGAAGATCTATTCCGCCGACTACTTTCCTCAGCATTTCGACCCAGAACCCCAACCGTTCCAGATCGTGAAAAAGAAATCATACTCCGCGATCGTCTGGCTGGTCATGAACGACTCATGAAGGACTACTTTGTCGAATATCCTGTGTACAATAATCGGATGTTCGAACGACGCTTCCGAATGAGCAAGACTCTATTTCTGCGATTAACTCAAGATCTCCAAGCATACAACCGATTCTGGATATTGAAAGCTGTAAGCATTTTCTCTTTGCTTTGCTGTTTCCAAATTCAAGTCTAACTTGATATGTCTTCAGGACTGCTGTGGTCAGTTAGGATTATCTCCTTATCAGAAAATCACTTCGGCAATCCGACAGCTCGCGTACGGCGTAAGCGCAGACTCCACGGACGAGTATGTCAGGATTGGTGAGACCACAGCAATCCGCACACTCAAGTATTTCGTCCGCCATGTCATCGAGATCTACGGTGCTGAGTACCTCCGACCCCCTAACCACAAAGAATTAAAGGTTATCCTTGAGGAAAACGAAGATCGTGGCTTTCCAGGATGTGTCGGTAGTATTGATGGCATGCACTGGGCATGGAAGAACTGCCCCTCAGGCTGGGCTGGCCAGTACAAAGGCAAAGAAAAGAAGCCGACGATGGTATTAGAAGCTGTGGCGAGCCAGAATCTTCGCATCTGGCACGCATTCTTTGGCACTCCTGGTGCCCTCAATGACATAAATGTCCTCCATCGAAGCGATCTCTTTGACATGTTACTAGCTGGCGCGTCGGATGCAATTGAATACACCATCAACGGTCACACCTACAATACTGGCTACTACTTGTGTGATTCGATCTATCCTCCCTGGTCAACCCTAGTCTCGTCGATAAAGAATCCTCAAGGTGGTGCTGCAAAGCACTTTGCCAAGCTACAAGAATCCGCACGAAAAGACATCGAACGAGCCTTTGGAGTTTTACAATCTCGCTGGGCATGTTTAAGGGTCGGCTGTCGACTTTGGGAGAAAGATGATGTCATGGATATGATGATCTGTTGCATCATCCTTCACAATATGATTGTGGAGGAGAGATCACCTGATGATATCTTCCTAGCCAACCCTTCGGCTGTCATCATCCCAAACCATCGCGATCCAACCTTAGCCCACACCTGGGGCACTTATTTGCAGAACATCTCAAACTTACACAACTGTGTGACTCATGCACAGTTGCGTGAAGACCTCAAGATCTACAATTGGCTCCTTCGGGGAGATGAGGCTGCTTGAATTAAATCTCACTTTCTTCTCAAGTTGTCCATTTTTCTTGATTCTTATATCTTCACCTTATCGCTCTTGGTTTTTGAATCATGTTCTACTTTTTGTTCAATGAGGAATCCAGATATTCAAAATAAGCTTTTTGATTCATCAAGCTTTTATTTCATTGATCTGTTGACTGATTCAGCAAGAAGCGAGACAAAAAAATCAAGCAAGCTGAATGAGACAACACAGCAGGAAATGAAATATTGTACTGAGCAAGATGAGTTCTATCTGAACATGATCGATAGACAGAGAAGAAAGGAATCAAAAACAGAGAAACCGAGATGTAGCAAGCTCAAGGACCCATGCTACATAAAACATAATGAGACCGATGTGAGATGTGTTAGGCACGACCTCTCCATTTATTCTTGATTCGTTCTTTGATCAAGAGGAGCACTTCCAGTGTAGCTTGGTCTTCAATGTCTTCGGATTCGGCAAGGATTTTGAGGTCATTGATTTGGGTCTCGCTTTGTCGATGCTCTTCTTCAACCACTTGTTTTTTTTCTTCAAGTTCTAATTTCTTCTCTTCGATCTTAACTCGCTCGGAAGAGATCGCATTGCTTGCCTTCATGATTTCGTTACCCTCATTGAGTGAGGCAAGCCGATCCTTTGAGGCTGCGATGAAGTTGCTTGTCTCTGAGAGAACTTCATCCTCTTTGTATTGATCGATGCGGCGTTTTTTTGCTGCTTTCTGTCCCATAGGACGAGAAATTGAGCTGGCCGAGCGAGCACTTGGAGTGCAGATACCGGTTGCAGTCGAGTCAGTCTCATCTGGATCGTTTGCATCGGAGGAAGGTGCTGCTGCCGAAGATGGTGTAGAGACACGTGCATCGGGTCGCTGATCGGCTCGCCATTTTGGTGCATATCGGAGCTTTTGCCAGGCAGACAGGGAGCTGAAAGCGGTACCCTTGGTCTGATCTTGATAAGCGGTCTTGGCAGCTTCAAGCCAGTCGTCAGGAGAGGAGCCGCTGGGTGGATTACGTTCGATGGCATTGTAAATTGCCGAAAACTTGAGGGTAGCTGTGTTGAGGGCAGTCCATCTAGGCCAATAGGTGTCAGCATAAGAAAAGAATGGTAAAAAAACAGGATGTTTTCCTACCTTGTTTTGATTTGAGCATGGTCGCGGTAGTATTCCTTGCTGTAAGTATTGAAGTCCTTCTCCAGTTTCTTGTAGAACGTCTCGCCCGTCTGGTTCGCAGCAAACTCGGGCTGTTCGCTGACATTGATCCAGGAGATTGCTAGCTGCTCTTCTTCGCGAGTCCGCCAGTTTGGCCCCCGTTTTTTCTTTTGTTGGCTGTTATCAAAACTGGGGTTGAGGGGAGTAATGCCTTCTTCGGGTGGAGTGGCCATGGATGGCTGGTTTTTAGAGAGGTGTTGTTGAGTAGTTGAGAGTACTCTGCAATGCTGGTTTACAGAGGCTCGGTAGCCGTTGGTAAATCTAGCAAGCTGGACCGAGTTGCCTACAGATTGGTTTGTTAAAGAGCCCTAAAGAGGGCACGAGGGTTTGCATATGCATGTAAATTATGTAAATATTGCCTAAATAGCGGGTTTACCGACACGAGGGTGGATGCTCTAAGTGCAGGAAACACATCATAAAAATCATAAAAGTTAAGCTGCAACAATTATTTCAACATAGTGTTTTCAAAAGCAGAATCAGCATGTCCAGCGGGCATCAAAACAGTGTATGACCTTATTTGATGTTTTTTTTTTCTTCTGTTGGATTTGATTTGATTTTTATTTGTTATTTCTGTTATTTTGGTTTATTTGTTTTGAGAGGAATTGTTAAATTATTACCATTTTTCTGCTTTTAAATGACAACCACATTTCTACTTTTAAAGCTAATCTGCCAAAGCCTGCTGATTTTAATTTACGTGGTGTATCTTAAAAATCCCCAGAAGAAGTCTTTTTTCATTCTCTATATGTATTTTTGGAAATGAGATTGTATTCAATTCAATTTATACTCTTTTATTTAATTACTTCAAGATCCACTTCAGAGAAACAAACTTGACCTCTGACTTCATTCTATTTGAAAATGACATATAGAATTATCAGTTTGTATCATTGCTTAGGTATTGAATCTCCTCCTCATCTAGCATCCCCTATTCCAAATATTCTTCTGGGTTTTCTAAATCTGTAACAACTGATGAACCCATGACAAGTTTTTCCCACCAATGACTACATCTTTAAATAACCCTATCCCATTCATTTTTTAGTTGGTCATCATTGTGCCCATCTATGGTGAGATATTTGGCACTCCAGTGGAGGATAATTGTACAGTTGGAGGCCCAATTCATCCAAATCCGGCAGTGATTTTTGACAAGTTTTCTGTACAAAGACTCCAGAACCAATGGTGAGAAGTTATGTCTTGCACATAAAGCTGAGAATACTTCCAGCCTGTCATTCTCCCCGTCCACAGTTGTTGATTCATCTGGCATCATGAACCCAAAGCATATGTCAGAACCACAAAAACAACACCAGGCAAGGCTAGGCCATCATTTTTCAACAAAAAAAGGAATCTTGCCTGATTGAAAATATTTGTCAACTCTTTCTAACAATTGGGATTTGGTGTCAGCCTGCTACTATTCAGAGACAACCTGACCATAGCATAATAAATATTTAGAGACATTATTACATATACTACCCCCATAGCATATGTAATTAATGTCTATTTTTATATGTACATAATGTAGAGACATTATTACATATGTACATATAAAAAAACATTAATATTTAAATAAGTGGAATCACTATAATAGAGACATTATTACTCATTACATTAAGTTTTACTAGTCATGAATGAAAAATAAAAATAAAAACAAAAACATTTATAAATAAACATTTTTAACATGAATCTACAAATAACTTCTAAACCTTAAGCAAAAGTTAGAATATTATTTCAGATTCTTAATTCTCATGCAAAATAACCTAGGGTACCCCACCAGAAGTACCCCTGAATTATTACTCCTTCAGGTACTTCTGGGTACTCTGAGTAACACTTGCTCATTTTGCTAAAAACCCTCCCAGTTACATCATACTACATGTTGTGACAGGTCTACATATGTAATTAAGGTTCATGCAGTTCGGGAAAAATCTAAAAATAAGGTTGAAATCATTGAAACCTTAACTACAGTGTCACAACAACTGTAACTGGCTGGTCAAAAGCCATTTGTGGCCCTTTTTGGCCCAATTTGGCTAACTACGCCTGGTTAAGACCAGCCCACTGGTCATTAAAGGGTCCCAGTGCCCAAAACCATGGCTGCAGGTTTGTCACAGCACTCCTTAGTGTGTGTTACAAGCCTCACTTCAGCCCTCTGCCACCTGTAACCAAGGACTACAGGTGTCTAGGCAGTGCTACAGGTCACCAATGCCTAGTAGGAGGCTTGCACCAGCCAAACAGAGTTCTGAGTTCGCCTCCAAGTGCCCAGAATGAGTATATAAGGAGCCCTTCTTGACCACGAACTCAAATTCCCCATCTTCATCATCACTTACCAGCAATAACCACCTCCAACAACCAGTTTTAGGCATTTTGTCTGGGCATACTCCTTTACACAAAGGACCAGATCATCAGGTACATTAAAAATACCCCTGTTTAACAGGTCCTGATTCCTTGGAGGGCACCATAAAAACCCCTGTAACTCAGGCCCCTCCCTTTATAAAAACTTAACAGTTTTTATTATCTCTTTTCTTAATATCAAACACCTCCCATTTCAAGTGTTACCCACACTTGTACACATTTTTTCTTAGCTTTGCACCTGGTTTAGCTAGAAGAGTCAAGCTCTTGGCATCACCCAGGCTGACAATTGGGGGTCTGGCCGGGAAAACTTTTTATCTTTTGATAAAAACCTGGTACTATTTTTTTCTTTAAAAAATAAAACAAAAACACATACAAAAATTATATTTTTACTCCTTCCTCTTGAACTTTTCTACAAAAATCAAACCATCTAAAACATCTTATAAAAAGCTCAAAATAATCCTAAAAAACATTTTTTCTTACTACCTTTCTTCTTTACCTTTTTTCCTTATAGTGGAATTGCAAGAAACCTCGAAACTAATCAAATACTACCTTGAACTTCTTGCCTCTGAAAAAGCACAGCGCGCAGCATCTTACCAACCTTCTCCTTGGGAATTACTTACTCCCCAAGAACAACGTGCCCGAGCTCTTAAACGCGTAGAAATCAACAAAGAACACAGAATCAACAACCTGCTTACCTTCAATTCCCTCAAGCGCGACCATAAAAATAGACGCCGCTAAATTTTAGAAGAACTTAAAGCAAAGAGACTTGCCAAAAGTAAGTACTCATAGGTTTTCGTTTTCGCGTACCTTTCTCGTATAAAAATTATCACTAATACCAACGAATCCTTGTTTTATAGTGTCAGTTACTTCCAGTTCGAGCGCCGCTACTACCCCAGCTGCTCAAACATCTGTTCATAGCCCTATATCAGGTAACTACCACGCCTGAACGATCTTTTTGTTTTTTTTCTTTACATAAAAAAACTGGTCTAGAAAACTAAAAGAAAATCCTTTTCTTTTATATCTTTTCTTCGGGGACAATCAACACCATGTCTACTAGGTCCAACAACCCCAATCTGCACGGACCCCTCCCTCCAGCGACCCGACCTCGCCGTAGCAAGTCAGCTGGAGGAACGGGTGAACCGTTTGAGATTAATAACGATTCAAAAGAAACTAGCTCCGATAGCCACCGAGGCGACGGCAACATTGGCTCGCAATGGCTCAGCCCAGATAAACAATCCTGCGATGACCGTAGCGGAAAAAACCGCAGTCCCAGCGACAACTCTCGCGACCAATGCCCCAGACTCCATGGACTTGGATCCGTCGGCGCTAAAAACTCCAGTCCAGAGAATGGATCCAGCGACCATAGCTTCGGAAGCGATGGACGTGGATCCCGTAGCTTCGACCTCTTCGGTGGATATCCAGTTACTCTGCAAGTTGCCGGAGAAACAGGCTATGTCCAAAGAAGAGAAAATCAAGCTCCTGGTCAAAGAGCACATACACCTTTGGAAGAGGTGCTTAGTAGCCAAACAGTCCGGCTCGATGGAGGATCTCAAAATTCTACTCCATCAAGCCCAGGACAGCCAAAAAGTATTACAAAAACTCATCTCCAAACAAGAATTGGAGGAATTCGTCAAGGGCTGGAACCCATGGACGATAAAGAAGGAGCTCTTTCCCCAAGAAAAAAGAGAGGGGAAGAAGCGCAGCTCCTCTTCCAAAGTGAAGAAAGAGGTGTACAACAACCCTCTCCGATGGAAGAAGGTCATGCGCGGCTGCAACACTCTCGAAGCAGCCTACCGCCACATGGCGGATTAGATCTCAAGATCCTTACCGCTATTTTAGATAGTTTAGAGCTTGTTAGTAAGAACCTCTCCGCGATTGATAGTAATGCCGAAGAGAACTTTAAAACAATTGTACATAGTTTAGACCTCGTCTCACGCAATAACAAGAAGAATGCCACTTCATTGTCCGTTCAATTTGACAACATGTTAAGAAACCCATTGTCAATAAATCCTGAGATGACTAAAATAATCGCTGAAAATACTGCTAAAAGCGAGAGAGCTTGTTCTAAGTTGACCGTGACCGTTGATAAACTTAGCAATGATTTGAACATCATTGGTGATTACGTCCTGTCTAACATTCGAGAGGATAATGCTTTAGAAAACGCAAAAAAGAAAGAAGAGTCAGATGTAATAAAGGATTTACTTATCCAACAAAACATCAGATCCGAAGGTTTAAGTACTCTGATAAAAGAGCAAATTTCAGTTCTGAAAATAGAAATGAAAGCGGAAATTCAATCTAGTGTTCGTGACTTATTAGCGCAGCATCTTTCCCACAATAAAACTGTGCCTCAGATTGATCAAACTAATAGTACACCTCATCACCATGATCCAAAAATACCACGCTTTAATAATCCTTACATGGAAGAAACATCTAGAGATGCCGCGCCTCACCTGAACAGGTGTTAAAATAATACTGCGCCGCAGCAAAACCGGAACTCTCCACCCCATTTGAACAATTACACTGTCCCTTCTGCGCCACTACAATCCCAACACAATAACAATAGAGTCCCATCTAGGTATTATAACATGGATTTGGCCACTTTAAATAAACTGGTCCCTCCTGTCACTGATTGGCCTAAATTTGCTGGCTCAGATGACTATGACCATATAAGTTTTATTAAATACATTGACCACATGTTGCTGTCCTACAGTGCAGATGATGAGTTTGTCCTTAGTAGACTTCCAAGGCTATTTACAGGAGTAGCTCTTGAGTGGTTCATAGAAAAACAAGAATCTGTTGGAAAACAATCTTGGGACACTTGGAAAAAATTAATCAAAGCTCACTTTGGTACCAGATTATGGGAGCAGAAAATCAGAAGAGCCTTTGAGAGTGATTACTTTGATCCCACAAAAGACAAACCTCACAAATGGTGTCTCACGCAGAAAAAGAGGATTGATTGTATGTACAAGAATCCCACCCAACTAGACATTAATGATAAATTGCTTGATCAATGTAAAGGAAATCTAGAGCACCAAATGAGGTGTAGACTCCCAAATATGGACACTGATTTATCCACATTTATTAATGTTATGGAAGAAGTCATTGAAATGACTGGTGCCAACAGAAGACACAGGGAAAATTATTCAGACAGAAGGGAAGTAACTTCAAAAAATCCTGCTCCTAAGGAAAAAGAAGGCAAACCTGCTGAAATTGCCGCTAAAAAAGCTGTCATACCTGAATGCTACAACTGCGGGGAAAAAGGACACAAGAGACCTGATTGCCCCAATCCCAGAAAGAGGATAAATAATGTCAACATTGAACCTGACAGTGAGGAAGAAACCTCTTCTAGGTTTGAAATGGTTCAAGTGGAACCTGAAGACTCAGATTTCCACCAAAATCATCACCAATCTGAGGAATCAGAGTACAGATTCCAGGTTATATCTGCAGATATTGGAGATGAGTTTGAAATTAATGCCATCCACGGTGAGTCAAATTTGCCTCAGAAATGGGATTCTACAATGGAAGTTGGCCACATTTCTGACGCCAAACTTTTGTCCAACAAACCTGAGACAGGTATGAGCTACACTATGGGAAGAACCAGTTACACTACTGTTATGTACCAAGGAAAAGAATGGAAAGCTTTACTTGACATTGGAGCCTTCTGCTCATGCACTAGTAGTGATTTCCTTGATACTTGTTACCCTGAATGGAAAAATTACTTGCTACCAGTGCCTAAAGCCAAATTCAGCAGTTGTAATTCCTCTATGAAACCCCTTGGTGTAATTAGTATGCCCCTAATATTCCCTCACTCCAAAGGATCTTTAAGACTCAATGTTGAATTTGTTGTTTTACAAGATGCTTTATGTGAATATTTTATTTTGGGAAATGATACTTTCTGCTTGTATGGAATAGACATTTTTCAGAGCAAAAATAGATACTATACCATTGGTGGAGACTGGAAAAGAAAATTCCAGATTTGTAATGTGAACATTAAAATACCTGAGCCAATCAAAGAGGTATCTTGCCTGACAAAGGAACTTATTGAGTTTGATAAAGAGTATCTGTCACAAGCAGCTGTGAGTGATATACTAAACCAAGAGCAGAAAAAAGATGTCTTAAAAATATGCTACAAATATAAAGAGGCTTTTTGCACAACAGAAGAGCCCATTGGAAATGTCAAAGGACATGACATCAAGTTAGAATTAACTTGTCAACCTCCGTACCCTCCTGCCCTTAGAAGAGCCCCTTATCCTTCTAGCCCAAAATCCAGAGTGGCTTTGGAAACTCATATCAAAGAACTTTTGGATCTTAAAGTTATAAGAAAAGTGGGCCATAATGAGCAGGTAGAAATTACTACTCCTGTAATTATTGCATGGCATAATGAGAAGTCCAGGATGGTGGGAGATTTGAGAGCTTTGAATAATTACACCAAAGCTGATAATTATCCCATTCCTAGGATTGACCACTCTTTACATAATTTGTCTAAGGCAAAATATATCACCACTATGGATGTGCTTAAGGGATTCCATCAAATACCTATTGAACCAAATAGCAGACAATTTATGCGCATTATATGCCACTTAGGTGTTTATGAGTACCTCAGAATGCCTTTTGGAATTAAAAACGCACCATCCCATTTTCAAAGGATGATGGACTCTATATTTGGGAGCTTCATCCGTCAAAATTGGATGATGGTCTACATAGATGACATTATCATTTATTCTGATAATTGGGCCACACACCTGGAAAAAATTACTTCTGTGCTTGAAATGGCGGTAGAATCTGGCCTCAAGATGTCCATTAAAAAGTGTAATTTTGGTTATGGAGAGCTTAAAGCATTGGGACGCATAGTTTCAGGTTTAACCTTGGCCATAGATCAGCACAGAGTAGCAGCTGTCTTGTTAAAACCCATGCCCCAGAATATTACAGAAATGCAATCATTTCTAGGCTTTTGTAGCTACTATAGGCAACATATCCCCAAATTTGCCAATATTACCCATAGTCTCTATGAAATTTGTAGTAAAGATGTAATATATGAGATGACATATTCCCGTGTCCAGGATTATGAGCAATTAAAACACCTTATGACCACTGCCCCTGTTCTGGCCCAACCTGATTATACCAAACCATTTATTTTATACATAGATGCTTGTTTGGATGGTTTAGGTTCAGCTTTGCATCAAGAATTTGAGATTGATGATATTCCAACTGAAAAACCAGTATTGTTTATCTCTAGGCAAATCAATTCAAGTGAGAGGAAATATGGAGCAAGTCAGATGGAGTGTTTGGCATTAGTCTGGTCACTTGAAAAATTACATTACTACTTGGAAGGCACAAAAGTTGTAGTAGTCACTGATTGCACAGCAGTTAAAACCCTCATGAATATGAAAACACCTAACAGACATATGCTCAGGTGGCAAATTGCTATTCAACAATACAGAGGACATATGACCATTGTTCACAAAGCTGGCATTAAACATAGGAATGCAGATGGGCTTAGTAGATGGGCCTTGCCTAACACACCTGATAACCCAGCCTGGGATCCTGAAGATGAGGACATTTTTCCAATTTTAGGTATTCACGTGTGTGATTTAGATATAGCCTTTTACAGCTTAGTCCAAGACAGCTATAAGGATAATATTGAGCTGTTAAAATTAGTTGATATTTTAAGCAATGACAATAGTTCCCCGGAGTTAATTGCTAGCCTGCCCCCTAATTTGGCAAAACCTTATGCTGAAGGAAAATTCACCTTATTGGATGGACTGCTATACTACAGAAATAGACACTCTAGTGTTTTAGTACTCTGTGACCAGGCACAAATTGACAACATTCTTTATGAATGCCATGATAATGTTAATTCTGGCCACTTTTCTGAAGACAGAACAGTGGAAAGGATAAAACATACTGCCTGGTGGTTAGACTGGAGATCCCAAGTTACCAATTATGTCAAGTCTTGTGAAATTTGTCAAAAATCAAATAAACAAACAGGGAAAAGATATGGGCTACTCCAGAACATTACTGAACCCAGTACTAAGTGGGGAATAATTAATATGGACTTTGTCACAGGATTACCTCCTGGAGGAGCTTACTCTTATAATTCTGTCCTAGTGGTAGTAGACAGGTACTCCAAGAGAGCCAGGTTTATCCCAAATCATAAAGATGACACCGCAATGGAAGTAGCCATGCTGTTTTGGAACAGAATTATGGCTGACGTAGGAATTCCCAAAATTATCATCAGTGATAGGGATCCAAAATTTACTTCAGAATTTTGGAGAAATCTACATGACATGCTAGGAACTAAATTAGCCTTTTCCACAGCCTACCATCCTCAAACTGATGGGCTGGCTGAAAGGATGATCCAAACCTTGGAAGATATGCTCAGGAGATTCTGCTCATTTGGTTTGGAATTTAAGAACCATGATGGCTACACTCATGATTGGGTCAGCCTGTTGCCTGCTCTTGAAATTGCATATAACAGCAGCAAACATTCTTCCTCAAATGAAGTACCTTATGTCCTTGAGAGAGGTTGGATCCCAAGAATGCCAAAAGATACCCTTAATGATAAATTACCACATATACACCCTACTGCTCTAGACTTCAAGAAGATGCTGGATATTACTCAAAACCACGCTAAAAAATGTGTTGAAGAGGAAGTAGAATATAACAAAAACAGATGGGATAAGAGCCATAAACAACCAGATTTTAAAATTGGGGATAAGGTTTTACTATCTACAGTGAATTTTAATAATCTAGGGGGTAACAAGAAACTTAAACCATCCTTTATAGGCCCATTTACCATCAAAGACATGCATGGAAAAAATGCCGTAGAGGTCATCTTGAGTGAGGAACTTTCCAGGAAACACCCTGTATTTCCAGTAAGCCTAGTCAAACCTTACACACCTAGAGACAATACTGAGCCAAAGCCATGTCCCCCAGTCCAAATAATGGAACCTAGTAAAGATGAGAAACTTCATGTGTCAGCTAAGATATTAAAAGACAAGAAAGAAAGAATTCAAGGAAAAGACACAAGGCTTTACTTAGTCAGGTATAAAAATCAATCCGCAGATAAGGATGAGTGGTTACCAGAGTCCAACATACCTGATGGAGCAATTCACTTGAGGAATTACAGAGCCTCTAAGAGAAATTAAGTGCCTGCAAACCCAAATTTTTTTTTCACACTTTGTCAAACAGCTATTTTATTACTTATATTTGCTATGAGTAGGAAACTCATCTTAGGGGTAGGGAATGTCAGCCTGCTACTATTCAGAGACAACCTGACCATAGCATAATAAATATTTAGAGACATGATTACATATACTACCCCCATAGCATATGTAATTAATGTCTATTTTTATATGTACATAATGTAGAGACATTATTACATATGTACATATAAAAAAACATTAATATTTAAATAAGTGGAATCACTATAATAGAGACATTATTACTCATTACATTAAGTTTTACTAGTCATGAATGAAAAATAAAAATAAAAACAAAAACATTTATAAATAAACATTTTTAACATGAATCTACAAATAACTTCTAAACCTTAAGCAAAAGTTAGAATATTATTTCAGATTCTTAATTCTCATGCAAAATAACCTAGGGTACCCCACCAGAAGTACCCCTGAATTATTACTCCTTCAGGTACTTCTGTGTACTCTGAGTAACACTTGCTCATTTTGCTAAAAACCCTCCCAGTTACATCATACTACATGTTGTGACAGGTCTACATATGTAATTAAGGTTCATGCAGTTTGGGAAAAATCTACAAATAAGGTTGACATCATTGAAACCTTAACTACAGTGTCACAACAACTGTAACTGGCTGGTCAAAAGCCATTTGTGGCCCTTTTTGGCCCAATTTGGCTAACTACGCCTGGTTAAGACCAGCCCACTGGTCATTAAAGGGTCCCAGTGCCCAAATCATGGCTGAAGGTTCGTCACAGCACTCTTTAGTGTGTGTTACAAGCCTCACTTCATCCCTCTGCCACCTGTAACCAAGGACTACAGGTGTCTAGGCAGTGCTACAGGTCACCAATGCCTAGTAGGAGGCTTGCACCAGCCAAACAGAGTTCTGAGTTCGCCTCCAAGGGCCCAGAATGAGTATATAAGGAGCCCTTCTTGACCACGAACTCAAATTCCCCATCTTCATCATCACTTACCAGCAATAACCACCTCCAACAACCAGTTTTTCACCTGTTTTTGGCCCAGTTCCTGCTGTTTCTGTCTTGGATATCACCAACCCAACCATCAACTGTTCCCCAGCACTCTTCCAACACCTGTTACCCAGTTTTCTGAGCGCTCCCAGACCAGTTTTCACCCACCTGAAGTCCCCTTGGCTTGGAAATAGTACTAAGTAGGTAATATTTCCTTGATACTTCAGTTGTAGGCATTTTGTCTGGGCATACTCCTTTACACAAAGGACCAGATCATCAGGTACATTAAAAATACCCCTGTTTAACAGGTCCTGATTCCTTGGAGGGCACCATAAAAACCCCTGTAACTCAGGCCCCTCCCTTTATAAAAACTTAACAGTTTTTATTATCTCTTTTCTTAATATCAAACACCTCCCATTTCAAGTGTTACCCACACTTGTACACATTTTTTCTTAGCTTTGCACCTGGTGTAGCTAGAAGAGTCAAGCTCTTGGCATCACCCAGGCTGACATTTGGATACTCCCCACTTGATTGCCTGACGGGCCTCCCAGGCTATCCGGCGAAGCTCTTCCTGGGAGTGGCTGAATAAGAGGTATGCTTTCATTCCTTCCTGAATACTTGTATTAACTGCCCAAGGTTCCTCAGGATGAGTTGAAGATCCCATATTCCAGAATGCATCTTCTAGTTGCATTTGCCTGATAGTCTCCAAATCTGGGGTGTCAAGCAAGTGTGGCGGTGAGAATCGGGTGTTATAATTGTGAGCCTTATTATTTGAAAGCCATTTGCTCTTCAGTAGTTTGTTTTTGGTATTCATTAGCTTCCTGAACCGCGCTTGTAATCAAGTACCTGTGGAATATTAACCAGATAGTGGAGATGTGGTGTATTTGAGATTGGTACTCAATAAATATGATAATGTAAATTCAGATAGCCCTGACCTGATCCAGGTTGATCCCATTTCTTCTGTGTCTCAGAGACACCAACTTTGGCTTCATAAAGCTTGGCTTTACTGATCTTCAACTTGATCAACAATTTGGTTTCTTCATCTGAAAGACAATTTATTTGGTAACTTGATCAACATTTTTCTTTCTCCATCTGAAACCCAAATTGTTTTGAGCATATTAAGTAATACCAGTGGTTCCTAAGTACTCACCTGAGGCCCCTGGTAGGTTTCAAAAGGCTTCAGAACCAAGGTCCTGGACAACTTTATCAATCTCTTCTTCCAGTAATACTAGTGTATTTGGTAGCTGTGCAATCTGATTCCTCTCGGCTTGGGTACGATTCCTCCGCCTCCTTTGTAGTGAAGCCATTTGTTCACTATATGATTGACATCAGTAAATGATTTAGTTCTAACTGAGATTCATAGTGCTCATCCATCCTATCAGCCCCGTTGTCAGCCTATGTGATGCCAAGACAAGTGTCTTCTAGCTACACAAGGTGAAAAAACTAAGAGTTTTTATGGTAAAAACTCAGGGACAAAACTGGTATAAGTAATTCAGAAGAATTACGTGAAATTTATGGATTAAATCCAAAAGTGGCCAATTTATATTAATAAAATTAATATAAATAAAACCAGAGGGGCCTGATAAATCAGGGGTGGTTTAATCCCTCTAAGGTATCGTGCAAAAAGCAGAGGATTTAGGTACCTGGAACACTGGGGCCTGTGAACAGGTGTGGTTTAAATCCCAGGAAGAATTTAAGGGGAAAATCTCAAGAAAAGGGTTATTACTTACTAGTAATAATCCTATGGGGTCTTGAGGATCTTCAAGGTGAAAACTGGACAGTTGGGAGCGCTCAGAAAGGTTGATTTTGGGTGCTGGGTGGTAACTGTTGAGTTTCTTGAGGAATTTTGAGGCTTTAATAACAGCAATAATAGTAGTAACTAAGCTAATTACAAGTGCAGGGGACTTGTAAATGGTAAGTATGTTTCTATATAGTATTGTAAAGCTGGGGGATCATTATTTGGGCGGTCAGAAGGCCCTTTAAATACCTGTGGAAGACCTCAGGGGTTGCTCAGGGGAGCTTAGTAGGACTTGGGAGCGCTTTGTGGCCCATTTTAGCCCACATGGTGACGCAACAAGGGCTGAAACCTTGGGGATAATATTCTAGAAGTTCCCAGGGGTCATGCACGAATTTATTTGAACCAAGAATATCCCTCAGGAACCTTTGGATAATTGCTAGTCTGTTACGTGGAGTTATCTCCTTGGAAATGGGCCACAGAATGTCCAAGAGGTGGTTTCTGGGGCTTGCTACACGTGTTACCACTTGGGATATAGAATATTCTAGGTTACTGTAGTATTTTCATGCATATTCTAGTTTGTTTATATTTTTATTACACGTTTGGGGGCTTTGTTGTCACGTGTAATGAGGATTCTGGGGCGCTTGTGGCCCATTCCTTGGATACTGGTAACCCAGAGGGGGTTATGCATGTATCCAAGGCGGGTGGGCTTACCTAGCACGCGCGGGGGCTTGAGCCTTGGGCTCAATTGTAGTCAGGCGCGCCTGTCAACAGTGCGCAGCATGACTACGTGGCGCGCGGGCTTGGAGACAGTACACGCCACGCAGCTCTATCTTCCAAACTATACACAACACTCCAAATCTGAGACAAGATTTGGAGTATATGCATATTGTTATGTATGATGCATAATTATTTAGGTGCCCGTGATCTATGGGTACCTGTTAATTCTTTAAGTGGGTATTACAGGATGAAGGAGTTACAATTAGGGGTACCTTTGGCTGAGGTACCCTAGGTTAAATTGTACGTAGATTCAGAATCTGTAATAATAATTAAAGTTTTCTCTAATCTTTCTATGTTATTTATATATTTTTAAGTGTTTTTATGTTATTTACATAAGTAAATTAGTTTCTTTTACTTATGTAATATTTTTACTTTATTCTTAGATTTTTTATGTGTTTTTTTATTTTACTTTGTTATGACAGGTTGTCTCTGCCATAGTAGCAAGCTGATATTCCCTACCCCTAAGATGAGTTTACTCATAAAGAAAAAGGCTGGAAATGACTAAGGATGAAAAAAATTCTTTTAAGCCTCTATTCAAGATGTTCTTTTGGAAGCTCTATAATTTCTCAAATGTATGGCTCCATCTGGGATATTATTCTCAGGTAGCCATTCATCTTTGTCTGCTGACTGGTTCTTATACCTTATCAAATAAAGTCTAGTGTCTTTCCCTTGTACCCTTTCTTTCTTATCCTTGAGTATCTTATGGACTTTAAGTTTCTCAGTAGGTGGAGTTTCTAATACAGGTACTGGTTCTGGGACTACCGGAGTATCTGCCGTCCTTTGAGTGTAGGGTTTAACAAGACTTACTGGAAAAACAGGGTGTTTCCTAGATAATTCTTCACTCAATATGACTTCTACAGCATTCTTCCCGTGTAACTGTTTAATGGTGAAAGGACCAACAAATGAAGGTTTGAGTTTCTTGTTCCCACCAAGGTTATTAAAATTGACTGTGGACAGAAGGACTTTATCTCCAATCTTGAATTCAGGTTCTTTATGGCTCTTATCCCATCTATTCTTGTTATACTCTACAGCATTTTCAACACATTTCTTGGCGTGTAAATTTGTGGAATCTAACATTTTCTTGAAATCTAGTGCTGTAGGGTGTACATGAGGTAATTTGTCATTGATGGTATCTTTGGGCATGCATGGGATCCATCCTCTCTCAAGTATATATGGGGCTTCTTTAGTAGAGGAGTGTATGCTACTATTATAAGCTATTTCCAAGGCAGGTAGTAGGCTTACCCAGTCATGAGTATATCCATCATGATTTTTGAACTCAAATCCGAATGAACAGAATCTTCTGAGCATGTCTTCTAGGGTTTGTATCATTCTTTCCGCCAAGCCATCAGTCTGGGGGTGATAAGCAGTGGAGAAAGCTAATTTTGTTCCTAACATATCATGTAAGTTTCTCCAGAATTCAGACGTGAATTTGGGGTCTCTGTCACTGATGATTATTTTGGGAATGCCTACGTCAGCCATTAGTCTGTTCCAGAATAACATAGCTACTTCCATGGCAGTATCATCTTTATGATTAGGAATAAATTTTGCTCTCTTGGAAAATCTATCAACTATAACTAGTACTGAGTTGTAGGAGTAAGATCCTCCTGGAGGTAATCCAGTAACAAAATCCATGTTGATGATTTCCCATTTATCCGTAGGTTCAGCAATTTTCTGAAGCAGTCCAAATCTCTTGCCTGTCTGTTTGTTAGCTTTTTGACAGGTGTCACATGACTTAATGTACTCATGAACTTGTGTTTTCCAATCCATCCACCAGGCAGTTTGTTTAACTCTTTCTACTGTTCTTTCTTCTGAAAATGGC